GGGTCCCGGATTTATTATTCATTATTAGGGGGGTTTTATTAATATGGTGAAGGGATTACATCATACGACATGTTTCAAGGCTTCAACTCTTGCCAGCCAGATTCGATGAAATGATCTCTGATATACTTCCTGAGCCCATTTTTTAGGTGACAGCCTGGCCAGCTGCGCCTGTGCTATCGTACCCACGCAGAGTACCTGATGCTGTTGTGCGTCGCAGGGCTAGTACCATGATGACTAGTATCATGACCATGCTTTGAGCTTCGATTGAAGTTTGCTACTGACTGCCGCTGCTGCTGCAGCTGCTGCACCTGCAGATTGAGAGGAGTCTCCAAGCATGGAGGGCCTGGAGAACGTGCGAGCAGGTGAAGGACCTGCAAAAAATGTACGACGCTTACTTAGGCCTGAATCAAAATGAGATGCCCCCAAGGAGTCGGTGACTGGAACAGTTTTTGCTGGCCCAGGATGTCTGTGGCGGCTGGTATGTGTCCAAAAAGGCCAGGTCTGCCATCGTGCTGCTGGTCTTCTCTCATACTTTGGAGCTGTTCACACCGAGGCTTCCAAGGCTGCTCGCCAGGAATTGCGGCAGATGGCTGCCACCTTCTCCAGCAGAAGGCAGCTTCTTCGAACCTTCGACCATTTCGCAGCCGCGTTTGCCCAAATTTGTCCAAGCTGAACACCTTCTTAATGCAGACGATCGGCATTTTTAGTTCCATCAAGTTGTGGGCAAGCTCGAAGCAAGCGCAGGTGCTTTCTGCAAAGAGTCCACAAGGTGGCAGACGTCCGGCAGATCAAAGCTGCCAGGGAGGCTGGGGGCCTTTGCATGTGTCGCCCCTGTGCTTGTGAAAGTCCAGTGCAAGGACCAGAACCGAGCACGCTTGCACGACTACAGAACAGCGTGGGCTGCAAGGAGAATTTGTAGATATGGCTGCCTGTGGTGATAATGCCTGTCCCCGATAATCATGCTAATGGCTATTGTGTCCCAGTGAGCTTCCATCAATTAGCATGTGCAGAAACCGCGTTTGGCACCTGGCCAGGCTTCAGGGAGACTTTGCATTTGCCGCCCCGGCTTCTACGCAAAACCCTTGGACCTCCTCCAACCAGTCACTGTTGTTTGAGTTTCCGACCGGGTTTGAGGTCCCTGATTGACTTGGTCATGGTTCGTGCAAATGGACGGTTCATGTCCCAGTCCTATTTTCGTTTGTATCCTGGTCTGTGTCGCAATTGGTGTCCCAATCAAGGTTTATTCAGGTGCTCCCTTCCACGTCTCGTTCATTGTTCCAGTAAGTGTGTCTGACTGTCTTGCCCTTCCCAGTGGGTCCTGCCGGCCCATGTCCGTTTTGGAGTACCAGCCAGTCAGAGTCCCGGTCGGCCTTTTTGCATTCTTGTTCTATGGCTGGCACTAGACGCGGATGGACGGAGCACAGACAGACATGAGAAGCCCCGATATGTGAAGCTTAATTAGAGCTCACACCACACAATGCATACGGCATCGATTTGGTGCTTCCGGTCTCCAGAAAATCGACTGCATGTGAAAGGAGGTTCTGCGCAATTAGCACGGAAGGCAGGGCACATGATTCGCGACGTGCACTCCTGCGCAAATCTGAAGCGGTACTGGAGCACAATAGGAATTGCATAATGGGATGACACAGAAAGCGGGAGAACACTAGGGACCCGCGAATCTGTGTCTACAAGTATATTTATATTTGCTTGTGGGGGACTCTGTTCAGCCCGTGCCCGCTCGGCAAGGACACAAATCTTGGCCACGAAGCACGGCAGCATGCTGGACCACCAGCGTAGGCCACAGCCTCAGCAGCAGTTTGGCATGAGGGTACCCCCAACAATTTAGGAGGGCAAGGATTCGAAATATCGTACATAATAGTAATAGTAGTTTCCATTTTCTTTTCCATGATTACTAAATCACTAAACACTCAGTACTATAGTAGTTTCCATTTTCTTTTCCATTATCCTAATATATAATCCCTATATCCTCCCTATATCATCATGCCACAACCGTGGTAGCTGGTAGCTGTCCCAGGGCCCCAAATTTACTCCTTCAAACCGCCAACCTCAAAAGTCTGAGGTGCAGACTCGACCATCTCCAACCCTTTGATTAAACCGAAATCCTTGTTCACGGTCATGGGATCGCCTTGGGCCCGGTAGAGTGAATCATTTGATAAAGTGAGTGTTGCTCATAATGAACCTTCAGAAGACTAGATTTGGGTGGCCTTGCGGCGCTTGTTGAGTCCTTACAGCCAGGGCAGCGTGCCCGCACACCAAGATGCACTTGACAACGCTTTTCGGATCGACAATCCTTGCAATTGCACAGAATCACAGCAAGTCGTAACACCCTTAAACTAGACTGGACTGGACCTGACCACGCTCACTAAAGCCCACACGAGGGACCTGGACGACCTGCGGAGCCATCTCGGGAATCTCAGCGAGCTCCAGAAGCAGCAGACCAGCGAAGACTGAAGATTTGGGGACAGGTTTAGTGTTTGGGGTTCAAGATTGGGGCCAGGAAAGAAGGGGCCTTTTGACCTTGCGCAGTTTCGCTCGGAACAGGCCTTTTAGGAAGCATGCGCGCTGTGCGAGGATCTGCAGAGCAAGCGCGAGGCCATCCTGGAGCAGAAGGCCTGATTTTCTTTGTGCTTGCCAGGACCGCGGTGATGAAGGAAGGTGTAAGATTGCTTGAAGCTTTCCGTGTAACTCCGAGGTAAGAGATACGTGGCTTGCCCTGCCAATCGGAGTGTGACCAAACAGAACGGCTGTTGTGTGCAGCTACCCAGCTACCCATGCTGAGAACAATGCAAGAAACAACACAGTATGCTGTAGCAACTGGAAAAGTCATCTTATTATCAAAGAAGTTTGTTTGTACAGAGCCGGGGCTCTGCAGGTGACGAAGCGCCCCGGCCTCAGCAATCTGATGTTGCCCCATTTTGAACGTCCGCGAGTTTGAGTTTGCTTCAGAGGGAGTTCTGAGTTTCAATTCTGAAGCAAGGTCTTCGTGCCCAACTTCATGGCTCTCCATCACCCTGGGGAGGGATGCAGCTTGGCGGCCTATGCCTCCAAGTTGAAGGATGCCTAAATGAAGCACCTGACAGGACCATTGGGATGCCATCGTTCCCTGAGGAGGCCTCCAGTCACGAAGCTTTGCGTTACTCCCCGGTGTAACCAGGATGAGAGAGCAGATTCTGAGATGCATACATGCAGGCCTTTGCAATGCGCTTCCCTTGCAAGCTCGCCAAGACCTTCCAGTCTGGTCTGGGCCTCACTGGAGCATATCATCTGGGTTTCTCAAAATCCGATGAGCTATACTATAATCTAAAGTCCGTAAAGGGGTTATATAAGGGACTAGATAGTCGAGGACTATCGGGATTCTTAAGGGGGATATTAAATGCTTTGAATATAGCTCGCATGTTTTTGGGGATTTAACCCTGAACCCAGCCTCGCAAGAGGTCGGTGGATTTGGCTTGAGGTAGATGTCCGTTTTGAAGGACCAGAAGTAGCCAGGGTGGCATATCTTCATCGAGGTGAAAGGAGACTCTAGAAATGTATGCGCCAAGTTTGTGCTGTGAGGAATCCGAGAGAAGCGACACATGTTTCTGTGACCACTTGCTCCCCGCTTGTCACGTCGACCTCAACACGCGGCTGGCCTTTGTCAGGCACAGAGTCCACAAGAGCGAGTAACCTGGGGAGCACATTGCAGGACTCCTGTATACAGAGCCACTAAGATACTTGTAAGAACGGGCCACAGTCGTGCCCCCCCAAAGTTGAAGAGCGAAGTCTTGGGCCAGAGGTGCTTCAGAAACCCAGGGGTCCAGCTTCGCACCAGGACCTTCGCCTGAGCCACGCAGATGCCACTGATGCCACTTGGACGGAGGCTGCTACAACAGCCATCCGAATATTTTGGCTACCTTCTTTTTTCCGTTGCTGGGCCAGGCTAAAGGAACCCAACAGATGGCTTCTACAATGCAGTCGCTGCCTTCACAGGCGAAGCCTTATCCCGTATGTGTTGCAAGTTGCCATGCGTTTCCAGCAGTCGCTCCTCTCTGACTTGAGGGCGAATTCGGAACCCTTATTCGGTTTTCCATGTGTGTTTTTCCCATGTCAGATAAAAACTCATGTTAGTTTCATGTCGGCATCCAACAAGCAAGAGTTTGAGAGAAGTGACCCAGGACCCAGCTCACACCATGTACACGCGGTAAACTTTCTCTGAAGATCTTCATCTTTTATGTTTGAGAAAGCAGCATAAGTCAAAGGGAGGATTGCACGAGTGCGTCTCAAACGGCACGTCCTTTCGAGTTGTTCAATGCCACGCTTGCAGAAACCCACGCCCTTTTGTGGAGCAACTTGAGTAATGGCCAGCATATTAGGGGGCCAACAGACGAGCACACATGCCAGCATCCCCTAAAATGAATGACATAGTGTGGGTTCAACAAACGCATGGACTGGCCACAAGCAAATTGAGCAGGCATAAGCTCAGACGAGCGAATCCGATACACAAGCGCTGAAGGAGAGATTTGATGCAAAGAGCTGAAGAAGGTGGTTTAAGACAAGATGCCACCCAAGCACCAATTGCCAGAATGCCAGGCCCAGGGAGAGCTCGCCAGGTGCGAAGAACATGAGCATGACCACCGCACATGTGCATAGTTGGTGCTTTGGAGACACGGGAAGAGGGAAGCGCCTCTCCAGTCTCGGCAGGCCTATGGCCGCAACCGACGGCTGGCACCAAGCCGCTGCCTCCTTTTTGCCACCGTGGGGCTTTGGAAGGCTTCAAGGGCTGTGCTGAGCTGTGCTGCGAGGTGCGGCCACCACCGCCACGGCAATTGCCGCTGCGGCCACCAAGGCGCGTCGCTGGCTGCCACATCGACCTCTTCAGGGTTGACTGAGGCTTAGTCACTCTGAGTGCCCCTACTTGCAGTGCATTTAGGTCAGAGTGGGGGGCGGCCTAGGACCCTAGGACACAGCGTGACAAATAGGTACTATGCAACACACGTGGCAATGCTCTAGTCGTCCATCGGAAATCTGTTGGGCGGCTGACGATGATGGAAATTACTTCAAAATTGGCCCCCCGTCCGCCCCCACTCTCCCCACCTTGAAAGTGTCCTCTCCTCTGCTACTTGGGACGAATCACGCCTGTCTGAAGGCCTTCGCCAAAGGAACGAGGCGGGTGCTCGAAGTCAAGCAGGCTAAGTTAAGCTGATAGCCCCTGCAAATACGAGGTGGGTTCTGGGTGAAACAAGGCGCCTTGTCTGCCAGGACGTCACATCATGTTTGCGTGATTGGAGAAAGAACCACGAAGATGTGCTGGTTGCATGAAGGACCAAAGGGAGCCACTCGTGAGATGGACGCAACCAGCTTAGGCATGCTGGTGATATGTCTTGCAGACGTTTGCAACGCCTTAGGCGTGCGTACGTCCCATGCCTCGTTTGGCCGTTTGTAAACGACCAAACCAAGCCAACCAGATTGTGTCGGAGAAAGAGCATGGAAACGCATTGTGGCTTTACAGTACCTGCCAGATTACAAGGGGAGTTATACAGTCAACTGCTGCTTGAATCAAATGTGTTGTCTCCGGAGATTTCAACTGCTTCTTTCATGCTGCCCGATCCCGCTGCTGTTATTCTAGCGACATGTATTAGCTCAGGATCCTTGTCATCTCAATCTGACAGCTTCTCCCAGCACTGCTCGTCACTGGTACGGGAATTCTCAACCTCAACCTTCACCGAGAACAGAGTGTGTTTTAGCTACGCTGCGCTGCCCGCTTCAGCTATCTTTCGATCGCCTTCTCAGCAGCTTGGAGGAGCTACAGGCTCCCGATGTAGATGTGCAGCTCCTGAGGCACACGATGCAGACTGGCTCTGTCACTCAGGCAGTCATGGCCTTGATGAAGGAAGGCAAGAGCACCTTGCTCGATGCCATGATCGGTCAGGAGTTTTGCCCAGCCACTGTAGAACCTCAGACTGCCACCTTGCTGCAGATCCAGCATGACCCCCCCCTGCCCAGATGGGAAATTGGCTGATGCAAAAGGGTTCACCACAGCACAAGGATGTGAAGAGATTTTGAAAAAGATCACGGCTTCAAATGCGGAACGCCGAGCAGCAGTTCAAGATGCGTTGCGTAGGATCGAGGCGACTTCGCAAGCCTTGACAAGCAGATCGTGCTGAACATTTGCGCATGCCAGTGTTCGAAGGAACGTACTGCACCTCCAGCAATACCAACGACAACCAACAGCGGATTGTTGTCTCTATCCATCGCATGCGTGCTCAGTGGTTCTTTGGAAAGCTCTTTGAGTTGGGCCCTGCTGGCCATGCGATCGCCAACATGGTCTGCTTGCAGAAGAAGTTGCAGAAATTTCGACTTGAGATTTGGTTGTCGGATAGCCGTGATTTTCAACTCGCGGAATCTGGTCCATATGCTACATGTGCTTGCGTGGTGAGACCACGGCCAAAGGCATCTCAGCGAAATGTGGAGTTCGCAGAACCTTGGGTGCTAATTCCTCTTCTTAGGCATCTCGGTTGTCAGGTGCTG